TTCATCTCTCTAAGTTTGCTATCCACCCCAGTAGCACAAAAATGTATAGGTACATGAAGTGCCAATATTGGTGGAAGGGAATGAAGAAGGATGTGCCAAGGTTCATAGCACGATGTGCGGTGTGCTAGCAGGTGAATATTGAACATCAAAAGCCAGGAGAATTACTACAGTCTTTGCCTATCCTAGAGTGGAAGTGGGACCACATCATCATGAATTTCGTGTCGGGTTTACCACGGACATTGCGCGGGTATAATGCAGTATGGGTTATAGTTGATAGACTCACCAAGTCTGCACATTTCTTGAGTATGAAGACCAGGGACACTCTAGAGACCATGAGCAAGCTATATATCTGCGAGATCGTGAAATTGTATGAAGTTCCACTCTCTATCGTATCAGATCGTGGTTCTCGATTTGTGTCACAATTTTGCAAGAGCCTACAACGAGTTATGGGGACAGAATTATACTTCAGCACCATTTTTTATCCTCAAATAGATGACTAATCTGAGAGTGTGATACAAATTTTGGAGGACATACTACGAGCTTGCGTGTTGGACTTAAAGGGAGTTGGAGTGACCATTTGCCATTGGCGGAATTTGCGTACAACAATAGCTATCATGCAAGTATTGGCAAGACACCGTATGGAGCATTGTATGGGAGACCATGTAGGTCACCGACTTGTTGGCTAGAAGCTAGGGAGAGCAGTTTGTTTGGGTCAGAGAATGTTCGGGAGACTACGGAGAAGATTAAACTCATCCGAGAGAGACTACGCACGGCACAAAGTAGACAGAAAAGCTATGCGGATTAAAGACGAAGACTGTTGAAATTCCACGATGGGGACTATGTGTACCTCAAGGTGTCATCCAAGAAGGGAGTGTTTAGATTCGACTAGAAGGAAAAATTAGCACCAAGATACATCAGACCCTTTTAAGTGATCAAGGCGGTAGGCAAAGTGGTGTATCAACTTCAGCTACCCGCTCAATTGTCAGGGGTACATGATGTGTTCCATGTGTCAATGTTGAGGGAATGTCAATCGGATACAACATAGGTTGTGGATTTGGAAGATATTGAAGTTCAAGATGGGGCAACATATGAAGAACAACCAGTGAAGATTCTCGACACCAAGGAGAAGGTGCTATGCAACAAAGTCATCCAATTGGTAAAAGTCTTGTGGCAACATCACGGAATGGAGGAAGCTACTTGGAAACCCGAGTTGGAGATGCGAGAGAAGTATCCGTATTTATTCGCTACTTAAGGTATGTTTTGAGGACAAAACTTTCTTTAAGGGGGATGGATTGTAAACCCCACACTTTTATCTTTATACATGTATGTAGGTTTATATAGTAAGTGATTATTTCTTTTGAAAGGATAATATGAAAAAATTTGAGGAAATAGTAGTTAAAAATTATTTTAGCTTGCAAATATATGAATTGTTGTAATAGAACTTGTACCAACTTGGTTTAATGTACAAAAGTATGTTGTATAAGTTTGGGTTGAAATTGGAAAGGTTTGGAATGGATTGAAAATCAAGAAGGAAGGATTTGTAAAAAAATAGGCAAAACCTTCCGGAAGGTTAAGGTAAAGACTTATCTAGTAGGATAAACCTTCCGGAAGGTTTATGGAAATGGTTGTCCAGTAGACAAAACCTTCTAGAAGGTCGATTCACAACCTTCCGGAAGGTTGATGAAAATGTTTGTCCAATAAGACAAACCTTCCGGAAGGTTAATGAAAAGGTTTGTCGAATAAGCAAACCTTTCGGAAGGTCGATGAACAACCTTAGGGAAGGTCTTCTAAAAATCTGAATTTTTAAGTCGCGAAAAATGGGCCTTCCTTCCACTATAAATACTTAAAGACAACTCCTTTAGTCCCATTTCAACATCTCTAACCCTAAAAAACCTTAGAGAGGGAGAAAGGAAAAGAAAAATACAAGATCAAAAGGGATTTACACTTCAAGAAGATCAAAACCGTTGTTTTTTCAAGAACACCAAGGTAGGGGTTTTCTTTCTGTTCTCTTACAATGAGGGTATGGTTTATTTATATGTATCCTTTTGACTCTTAATCATATGTATACGCTATGAAACTATGATTCTGTGAGATTTTTGCAATCATTACCATGTTTTAAACAAAGTTATGGTTATATAACCATGAGATTTCTTTTCTTGTCGTAAAACCCTAGATTTCAAGATAAATGGAAATTTTGTCTTGATTCTTTATTTATTCTTGATCTCGAAACCCGAATGTTTTGTATTGAGTAATAAAATGGTATTTGCAATGATCTCTTGTTTATTTTCTTAAATTGTTCTCTTGTATTACAAATTGTGAAATTTGGAGATTTATGATCTACTTATGGTTTGAGAATTTGGTTGGAATTGCATCTCTTGTATGGTTGTTGTAATGGACTTGTATTGCATTCAAGCACTGTCGTAGAGTGTTAGAGGTTAGTCTATCCTTGTGGGGGTGAGATGGTTTCCTAACACTTGTAGTAGTTTGTTGTTTGTGAGAGCAACCACTATTGTTCACGTAAGTTCGAGGCTGAGGGATGGTATACCTTTCTTGGGAAGGATTCGTCAATGCCGTGGGAGACGGTATATGTCCTTCCTAAATTGGTTTGTGTGGTTATGATTAGGTGAACGAGGTAGAGTCGTGGTGTAGATTCATGGGAAGCAACCAACATACTTGAGATTATGGATGACACTGTTGAACGGTTATGGTTATTGTTCATTGTACCAGAAATAATTTATACAAGAATTTTGGGAAGTATGAGATGCCGCAAGAACTTGTGAGAAACGATTTATGGTGGAATGAATTATTAGCCGTATATTGGTTTCATTTATGCCTTAAATTACTGTTGTTGCTTAAACTTGAGATATGTTTAAATGTCCCTGTTTTCTTTAAAAAAAATTCATATATGCTATCTGTGAAAGGTGACCGACCATTTTTATATGCTTTTCTAAACCTTGTTCGAGTTTGGGAGGAATGTTGCTACAGAGCTTAATGCTTAACCCCTACAAACTATATTTTTTAGATTGTGGTCTAGAGGAAGAGCTCAGGGTTGAGGAGCTGACACATTGGGAAGCTCCATTAGATGGGCTCATGGATCCCGGGGTGGATGTCTAGAGTTATACTCTCCTAGGTGCTAGACTAAGAAATTTCTTTTGAGATTTTGTAAAATCTAACTTTTTGTTATTCCGCTACAAGTTTAAATATGATTCTTTTGAGTTGTAATTATCATAGTCGATCACATTCTTTTGGGATGTAATGACCATGGTTGGCATATTCTTTTGGGATAATATTGTAAATGCTATATTTGATGGATGAAATTTCTTTAATGATGAAATTATTTAGTTGCTCTCGTGATGTAAATGGTTTATAGATTGTAATGTCGTCCAAGGTGGGTTTTTGGGCATTACAGGCATTCTAGCAGTTCTCATATTTGATAACGGGACTCAGTTTGAAAGCGGCCATTTCAAAGCTTTCTGCCAACAATATGGAATTTAGAATCGGTATTCTACCCCTGCCTACCCCCAAAGCCATGGGCAAGCAGAGATATCAAACAAAAAAATTCTGGATGGAGTCAAGAAGAGGTTAGAAAAGGTGAAAGAAAAATGGGCAAAAGAGTTGCCCAGCGTGTTGTAGACATACTGAACCACACTGCGCCGTGCAACGGGGGAAACCTAATTCGCACTCGCATGTGACATGGAGGCCGTCATACCCCGAAAAATCGGATTACTGACACTCAGGACCACTTTAGCGGCAAATGAGAACAGTAGTTTTATTGTTAGTCAAGAGCTTGATTTTCTTGAAGAAAAGAGGGAAGCAACAACTATTTAGATTACTGCCTATTAGTAGCAAATGACTCGGTCTTATAATAGAAAGGTTGGCCTTCGATCATTTATGCTCTAGGACATAGTTCTTAGACGGGGTAATGGGAGTTGCCAAAGATCCTACCCATGGAAAATTGGGCACAAACTGGGAGGGACCCTATTGGATAGCTTGGGTCGTTGGAAATAGGTCTTATGAGCTTGAAACCATGGGACAGAAGCAAATACCCGGGCCTTGGAACGTAGCTAATCTATGAAAGTTCTATTTTTGAAGTATCTTCACGAATAGAACTTTCGAAGTACCTTCAAAAGGAAAAAAAAAAAGGGAGTGCCCCCTGCTATTATTTCTTTTAAGAATTCCTATGACAGAATAATCATCCTCTTATGGGAGAGATTCATTTATAATAAGATCATGTGCTTGATGAACACTCATTTATTATTCCCACCCTACTGCTAAGGTATGGAGGCAAAAATCTTGGTAGAGGCGCAGGCCTAAATCAGGTGCAGCGACTTGATCAGATCTAGACCCTTGGTTAGACATGACAATGTAAACCAAACGGGTAATGATCTGAGTCCGATTGGATTGGCAGGTCGGTATGAAGGAAAAAATTGCATGGAGAGGCCCGGAGGGTCATAGTCTCTTTGCAAAACTCCCTAAGAATCCCTAGCCGATGTGCTTGGGACCTAGCTCTAGGAAAGGGCCAAAGCTTCTTAGAGCAAGACAATTTTTCTAAGTAAAAATTCCTAGTAGATATGCTTGGTATCTAGCTCTAAGGAAGGGCCGAATAAAGCCATAGCTTCTTAGAGCCATCTAATAAAACTTTCTAAGTAAAAATCCCTAGCAGATATGCTTGGGACCTAGCTCTAGAGAAGGGCCGAATAGAGCCACAGCTTCGAAGAGCCTTCTAATAAAATTTTTTTTAAGAAAAAGTTCCTAGCAGATATGCTTGGGATAGAGATTTAGAGAAGGGCCGAGTAGGGCCAAAGATTCTTAGAGCAAGATTTCTAAGTAAAAATACCTACCAGATATGCTTGAGACCTAGCTCTAGAGAGGGGCCGAGCAAGGCCAAAGCTTCTTGTAGTTAGCTAAACATAATTTTTTCCAAGAAAAAGTCCCTAGCAGGTGTGTATGGAACCTAGCTCTAGAGATAGGCCGAACATGGCCAAAGCAAGACCTTTTAGTTAAACAAGCAGAAATACGAGGAACCTGGCCAAATCAGAGTTTCCAATCATAACATGACATAAGAAAAAAAATAATAAAAATAAAATAAAAGGAAGAAAAAGGGCCTATCAAAACAAAAAAAAGATTTCTTTCATAAGTGCTAAAAAAAGGTGCTTTTTTACATGAAATTTCAGGGAGAAATAGGAGGACTAGAAGAGCTAGGTGTAGGATGACACAAGAAAAGTTTAGAAGTAGGGGGCACTTCAGCAGCCTTCAAAGCAGCAACCCAACCTTTTGCAAAATATGCTCGCTCTAGTGAAGGAATTTGCAAAGCAAGGTCCCTCTCTGCTTTCTCTATCCCTTGATCAAAAGCAGCATCTTCAAGGTCCTTGGCCTTAGCTTTGAACTTGTCGAAATCTTCTAGCAAAGAGGAATGTTCGAGCTGAGTTTGGGATAAATCTATGCTGAGGGAAATCTCTGAAGCTTTCAACTCCTTCACTTCTTTTGCCAACTTTTTGTTCTCATCTTTCAGGCTAAGTGATTGAGCCTGAAGGAGCAACATTTCTTCACAAAGCTTGGCGTATTCTTCATCAACAGATTCTTTCTTGGCCAGGGCAGACATACGATCATGGATCACCTCTTTCATGGCCTTGTCCTTTCTAGCAATCCTGGCCCCTACTTCATGCACCTTTTGAAGACCCTTTTCAAAGGTAGAGAGAATATAAGTATGCGATTCAAGTCTGAAAAGAAAAAAGGGATCGAAATAAATACCAGAACTATTTGTTGGATGGCTTGCCGAGCAATCTCATCATCCGAGGTCGCCTCATTCACAGCCAGGTCGCGAGGCAGAATTACACCCCTAGCGATCCCTACCGCAACATTCATGTCCTTGGCGGCCGAGTCCCAAATGCTTATTTCCTTGCCTTTCGCCTTCAGAACGGGGCGAAAAGTAGGAATGGACCGTTCAGGGGCAGGATGGGTCTCCATTCGTCTCTTCTTGGTCAAATACTCCTCGGGCTTGGCATCAGCTGGCCAAGGTGGTGAAGAAATAACCGGAGTGGCAATAGGAATCTCATCTGTAGCGGGTTCGGGAAGAGGAACCAAAGCCTCGATGTCAGCTTGTGGATCGACAGAAGCAGGGGCATGATCAGGAAGGAGTGTTAGATCGATTGTTAGGGTAGGTAAGGAAGATGATTCAACAGGAACATGCAGTGTCGAAGGAGTGGCTTCGCAAGGCTCACTAGAAGAAATGAAACTAAGGAAATTCTTTACTGGTCTATTTTTTCTAGAGGGAATGATAGTCTTTTGTTGAGAACGAGGGATGACATCATGATGGGCTTGTAGTTTGGCTCTGTCCTTGGCGAGGGTGGCGTTGGCCTGAGCAGGAATAGCGATGAATGAATGATACGTAGGGGTATACCCTAGCAAGGCATGAGCAGCTCGGCAAAATAAGCTCTCGTTAAAGGACCATACCTTCCTCAGGTCATCCATCTTGATCGAGCTCTCAGATATTTTTCCCTTACTAGTCTCCCCTGAATATAAAGGCAAAAGAATAAAAGATGTATACCACGCACTGGGTGAAAACAAAAAGAGACTAAGCAGAACAAACAATCATACACCTGGCATGCCTTCTTTATACGGGCATCGGTAAGAAGGTGTATCTCCTGCCTTGTATTCCCAATTCCCAGAGACAAAAATGACATCATTCTCATGGCCTTTATTTGAATCTGGGAGATGGGTTACCAGGTACCGATCTTTCCTTCTTACAGCCAGATAGTAACTGTCACCAGTAGTCTTCAGAATGTAGCAAAAGAGGATTTCCCAAAGGCCTAGGTTGACATTCAACAGGTTGTTCAAGGCAGCAACACCCATAACTATCCTGAAGAAGTTAGGGCAGCATTGGATGGGGCATAGCTTCGTAGCAGAAAGCACCCACAACAGCAAAGGATGCAATGGAAATCTCACCCCACCTTCGGTAATAGCCCTCGTATAAATGGGAATCGATTCCCTTGTACCAACCAGTGGTTCGTCATCACCAACTACTCGAATCTGGACATCCTCAGGAATACTATACTTGCTCTTAAAAGCTAGGACACCTTCTTTCGTAAGGCGGGCCATTTGGAAGAGGAACAGATAAAGAAGGAGAATGGGCGAACCGGAGAAGATAGACAGAGAAGAAGAGCAAAGGACGAAGAAAAGAAAAATAAGTCATCTTATACTACTTGAAAGGGGAAACCAAAGGACCAACATTTAATGAAAAGAGACAGTTGTGTGTCTCAAGAACTCAAGCAATGATGAACCTGAGAACATGGAACGACTGTCAGTCGAATGACAGCTGACATGCGTTTTTTGGGGACAAGTGAAGGGGTATAAAATTATGCCACGTGGATAAACTATCACATGGGAAAAGAAGAAACCGCGTGGAGTTTTGGCTTTGATAAAAACGAATTGAACTATATTAGATTTGGTAATATAACCGAGCAAGAGGATCTGGCCACATGGAGATAAGAACCAAATAGCGCAATCACTGCCTAAGAGTAAGGGATGTAGTTGTACCAGCTAGGTGGATCCAACAGCTCATAAGTTGAGATCAAGGGAGCGTTAGAGAGATTTTACGAAGAGCCAACAGACAATCCAGCTGGGAGAAGGATGTGCCATCTTCTTCCCCCGAGAGGGGAATCACTAAAGTCTATATAAATCAGCAAGGATGCTCAGTGCAAGGTAAGAAAAATCCTTCAAAAATGTAGTTCTTTGAGATTGACATCTACTTATTTAAGTATCGAAGTGCCTTCGATGGAAACACTTTAATCTTGAATAGTTTGTTTGTTTTGTAAGAAACTTCACTCGGGGAAGGACAACATTGTTCACAGAGGATAAGAGGAAATTTTTCCGCTCACATTATCTAATATAAAATCATGAACTGTGATTAATGGAAGTTCGGTATCANCCGCTCACATTATCTAATATAAAATCATGAACTGTGATTAATGGAAGTTTGGTATCGACTTGAATACCATGGCTTTACCCGTGTATAAAAAGAGACTACCATTTTTTCTTGACTTTTCTTCGACTAAAAAAATATAAAATATAAAACAAAACACTACTTTACAAAAGTAAAAAAAGTAAAAAGGTATTTAAAGAGACGTTATCAAACGGTATCTAAATCTTGTTAGAAAAAAACAAATATTTTCTCATGCGGATATTAATCCAATCATATTAAGTTTGTGAGGTATGTAAGTTGTGTTTAACAGATTCTTGTTGTCATGGTTAGTTAAATTTGTGTTAAGTTATTTTTTTTTGAGTGGTTTAACAATATTACTTCATTTATCACTTGAGCTCGGTAAAATTAAATATCAATTCTTTAATTTCAGATCAATTTCGTGTCGAATTTGTGGGTTTATAGAATTACCGGAGATCTAGGTAAGATGCACTAAAAACTAATAATGGCAGACTTGGTCTTCTCAATTTTCCACCGAAAGGAGGAAGAATTCAACCGATGTTGCTTGCTGACCACCAAAATTTAATATTCAACGGCCCACCTGCGATGCACCTTTTTGACTGCATGTGATGCAACTTCCACCGAAAGTTTTTAAAGAGAAAAAAGCCTAAATTATTGGGAGAGAAAGACTACAATATCAGCCCCGACATTATTTAAAGTGAAAATAAAAATAAGTCGTAAATATAAATGTCCTGAGTTTAAATTTTAGTAATTCCTTGAGGTCAGACCGTGGATTGCTTTGATACGTGGTACGAGTACGAATACATGATACGACACTTTCTAAGTTAGTTACCATTTTCGTTGTAGTTGTGCATAATTTTTTATTATCTAAAATAATATATAATTATATATATAATCAATTAATATGTATTTTATATTTGTGTTACATGTTTTAAAGTGATTTGATTTAGGGTTAGTATTACAATTTGGACTCGTTCATTTTGGTGATCTGAATAACGAACCTACCTCATTTGGTATCGATGTACCCAAATCATGGGTCATCAAGAATTTAATAAATTGTGGTAACAATGAGTAATTTATCTTTCATAAATATCATAGTCACAGTGTAGATGACACTCCTAATTGTTAAGCCAAAAAAATAAAGAAAAGAAATACTATGTTATCGATTTTCTTTTAATGTACCAAAATTTATAATTTTTTAAGTTTTTTTTTTAGATATGTAATTTTTTGAGCTCCAATTATATCTTTTTGTGGTGTAAGTCACAATTGAAAATATGATGAAAATTATAATTTAAAAACTAAAATTACTATTTTGTGAGGTTAAGTATAAGTTACACATTTTCAATGTGAAGTTACGATTGATCAGATATGAAGTTGCTTCAAACAGTTGTAACTTCACATTTAAAAACTGAAATTTGACCTCAAAAAATAATAATTTTGTNTCCTTGAGGTCAGACCGTGGATTGCTTTGATACGTGGTACGAGTACGAATACATGATACGACACTTTCTAAGTTAGTTACCATTTTCGTTGTAGTTGTGCATAATTTTTTATTATCTAAAATAATATATAATTATATATATAATCAATTAATATGTATTTTATATTTGTGTTACATGTTTTAAAGTGATTTGATTTAGGGTTAGTATTACAATTTGGACTCGTTCATTTTGGTGATCTGAATAACGAACCTACCTCATTTGGTATCGATGTACCCAGATCATGGGTCATCAAGAATTTAATAAATTGTGGTAATCATGAGTAATTTATCTTTCATAAATACCATAGTCACAATGTAGATGACACTCCTAATTGTTAAGCCAAAAAAATAAAGAAAATAAATACTATGTTATCGATTTTCTTTTAATGTACCAAAATTTATAATTTTTTAAGTTTTTTTTTTAGATATGTAATTTTTTGAGCTCCAATTATATCTTTTTGTGGTGTAAGTCACAATTGAAAATATGATGAAAATTATAATTTAAAAACTAAAATTACTATTTTGTGAGGTTAAGTATAAGTTACACATTTTCAATGTGAAGTTACGATTGATCAGATATGAAGTTGCTTCAAACAGTTGTAACTTCACATTTAAAAACTGAAATTTGACCTCAAAAAATAATAATTTTGTACCAAATTTTTTTGGTACTTTATTATTACCCTATTGGCTCAGACAAAGTCGTACATCATTAACAATCACCTCTTAGTATAATAGGTTTTAGTAAGTTGAATCGTGTCAAATTTATGCACTATTTTTTGTTAAAATTTTGTTTAATTATTACTAAATCTACTTTTAATTTTGCACTCTTAGTTTTGTATGGTACATAAGTCATGTACAAACCTTATTAAGCTCTTTGTATCATACTTTACCTGGTTCTTATCGGCCAATTTATTTAACGGATTGCAATATTAGAGATGGTCCCTAACTTTTTTTGAAGGGAAATTTGGAGTCTGATCCCCTTGTATGAACTTATTTGGATTTAAGTCCGTCAAAAAAATTTATTTACTATGAAGTTCATTTTTTGTCAATTTTAACAAACTATCATTTCCCTTTAAAAGTGAAATAAAATTAAAAATTAAAAACTCCTAAATTTTAAGAATTTGACTAATATTAATTTTTTTTTCTCTTTTATATCTATATATATTTATATATACATTAGGACTATATATATATATATATATTGAAAAGACGGAGGGCGATGAAACTACAGGCAACTTTGGTTGTTGTGTGAGTCCGTTGAGTTGAGTCAAGTTTAGCCACTAAACCCCTTCCAACTACATAGGAACCTCTTTGACAAAACTTTTGACCACTCCGCGGTCTCCGAAGAAGACAGCCAGCCCCAAAGAGTTAATGACGTGATGGGCAAAGATAAAAAGAAAGAAAGAAGGTTATCAAAAGGATTTCTTTCTCCATCTTTTCTTGTAGTCGAAGAGAGCCAACCCACTCGACAAGGGGGTGGGTTATATATATATATATATATATATATATATTAACATTCAAGTACATAAAAAAAGTATCATTTAAACATAAAAAATAATACCATTTAAATACAAAAAATAGTAACATTTAATATTAATATTTTTAAAAAATAATAATAGTAATATATTTAATAAAAATAGTAATATATTCAACAAAAATAGTACAATGTTCAACAAAAAAAATAGTAATATGGAACATTGAACAAAATTAAAAATAAAAATAGTATCATTCAAACTTATAATCAGAGGAAGAAACGTCCAATTTTTCAGCATTCAAAAAAGCAACATTAAAAAAGTAATAACATACTCAATAAAAAATAGTAACATGAAAAAAATAGTGATGTGTTAATAAATTACGTTTTAAAATTGATGTTACTGAACTGATGTTACTATGTTAACATCAAGTACTTAGTGTGCACTGTCCATGTTACTTTTTCAA